ACAATTAATTTACTGTTAATTTCAATTGTTTTTATGCAAATAAGATAATGGCTTTTATTGATGGCCAGTGATGAAATTTGTTGCTTTTCGTCTTTATTGACCAATTATCTTAGTAACAACAATGTCAAAAGTTAAAGAAAATGCAAATTCTAATACAAATTCAGGGTCAACTCAGTGATGATGTTATTGGACAAAATTTCAAGGATATCATCTTTTCAGACATGAAAAACTTTATTTCTATAAACAAGTTACAATCCTTCATGCATGAGAAAATCAGTTTATAAGAAGACTACATCCTGGCCTGCTGAAAAACTACTAAGTATCTGGAGAAAAAAGGTATCTAACTTTATATTCCTGCCTCATAAAGGGAGCGGAGGTACATCATTTAATGGCTATCTAAACTATTATAAAGTCACTCCTAAAAGCAGGAGGATACTGAAATAAAATGGATAGATCAAGGCAACACATTTAAGTAGACTTAAATGTCCCTACGAGTTGTAGTCACTGAGAAAGAATGTATATTCATTATATGTCTACAAAATACATGCAATAATGGGGTTGAGATAATTGACTGTCCATACATAAGCAAATAGGATTTTACTCATTTCCAAAATTAAACTCTAAAAATATTAAGAAACTAAATATGAAACAAAATAAAACTATAAAGATATTAAAAGAAATTTTAGGAAAACACTTGACTAGCAGAATAGTAAATAATAGTAATAAATTGAAATAATAGTAAATAAATATATTTTAAAGAAACTATTCATATTCTCAAGTACTACATAGATCATAAAGGATGATAGTGGGAGCTAGTTAAATGAAAGAGTTTGATTTCTATGTAGTGTAAAGCAAAGACATGACGTTCTAAGACAATGACACATGAGACAAAGGCTTAATATTTGTAATACATGAAGAACTCTACAAATTAATCAGAAACTTGTAAATGTGAATAGTCATTTCACAGCAGATGAAAAGCAAAGGGTCAGTAAACATAAAATGTTTGACATCAGTATTAGTAGTGAGAGAAGCAAAATCTGGGCAGCACTTGGGATAGGGAAGGACCAGTGTTCCTACTGGAAAAATATGAGTCCTAACATTCACTTGGATGAAACTTTGACATAATAGTTATTCTTGAATTCTGGGGATGTTCTGTAAATTGCTTTAGCTCAAAAATATCTGCTAAACTTTATTAAAATGTAAAAATACATCCTTTACTTACCACCTCAGTTCTGGATAGTTACATGATGGAAATTAAAATATAAACACTCCAGCTACTGGGAAGGTTGCAGCAAATTAGTGCTGTTTGGGCAAATTAGTGAAACCCTGTTTCAAATTAGATTTAAATCTCTCTCTCTCTCTCTCTCTCTCTCTCTCTCTCTCTCTCTCTCACATTGGTTGTGCAGATCAATGGATTTCTTTTTGATTCATACATGCACATAGCATGTATTTGAAGGAAAGCAGAAAGTACTGCAGATGAGCCTGAGGGAAGTGGAAAACTTCAATTAAGCTCTTAGGATCTAAAACCAAGGGAGAGCAGGACCTCCACCTCTGAGGAGGATTGAGATGATGCCAAGAGCCCGCAGACCACACAGCTGTGGAGAACTGGGTCAGGCAGGACCTCAGGCAGCCTGGCCCCACTTACCATAGCCTAACATGGCACAGAAGCTGGCCCCCGGGCTGACAATGCTGACAGGCATCTGGGACCAGCGGCCAAAGCCTAGATAATGGTGGTCCAGGATCGCACCATTATGACTACCAAGGCCTAGATGCTATGCCCTCCTCCTCCTCTGCAGTTTCTTAGCTCTACACAGACCCGCTGAGATTCAGAGATGGCTACAGGAAGAAGAAAGACGTTCCGTATAAACTAAGGCTGAGTCTTCTCCTAAGTGAAGTGAAAGAAAATCAAATTATACTTCCTCCTCTACAAAACTACAGATTCATATCAGCCATGTGGATTTTATATACACAGATAATTTAAAAATTGTTAAAGAAGATTGCTGTCCCTAGGGGGAAAAGGTTGTACAGTGGAACAGGAAAGATTATTGGTTTTACTTTTACCCCTTATGTACTATTTAATTTGTTAAATATAAATAGGCACACTTGTCTATGGTAATTGACTAAAACTGTACAGATTGCAAAGACAAAAAAGGCACGTTCAAATCACTTTGTAGCACATGCTAAAAGTCAAGACATGAAACACCTCTTTTGGGGAAATTATTAGTATCACCAAAACTCAGTTTATTAATTAATAACATAAGGATATTAAGTGAATGATAAACTCCTTCTTGACAATTCTCTTAATGAGTTTTCTGACTTTAAAATAAAAATACAGCTAGGTACAGTAGAAAAGACTCATTTTTTTGAGGTACCTGGAATAAGTTTTCTTATTCTTTAGATTCTCCTAATTTAATGTTCTAAAGTTAACACAAGAACTACAGTCAAAAAAAGAGAACTGTTTCAAGAAATAAGGACTTTGTTATTAATCTCAAGTCCGCCAGTAATTTTTTGGGTAACCTTTAGCAAGATATTTTAAACCACTTTGGTTAGATTATACCTCTAGAGCAGATGCTCCCACATTGGCTGAATATGAGAATTAGCTGGAGATCTTGTTTAAATATACACATTCCATACTCCTAACAGAAATGTGCACAAATGTTCACAGAAGACATGCATACAAATGTTCACAGAAGTGCTGTTTGTAATTACTCAAAACTAGAAACAATTTGTATGTCAGCTAAGAATACAATGAGACAAGAAAATGTTGGTGTGCTCATGATTGGACACTATAGATTTGGGGTTGGCAGATCTTTCTGCAAAGAATTAGAATTTTGCTATCCCTACAGTCTCCAATTAACTTTCCATTGAGCTAGGTGCGATGGGGTATGACTAATTTCAACACTCAGGGCACTAAGGCAGAAGGATCACAAGTTCAAGGCCAGTGTAGTGTGCATAGAGTTAAAAGCCAGTCTGGACTACATTGATCCTGTTTTAAAATCAAATAAACAGCAGTAACAACAAAAACAATCCCTCCCAAGCAAAATTCCACCATTGCAATATAAAAGTTGTTGCAGAAAATACTAAAATAAATTAGTCTGAGATGTTGCAGTAAAACTTTATTTGCAAGGTAGCAGTTTGTTCATGTCCTACACAGCAATGAAAATGAACCATGACCACATACAATAATACGGGTGAGCTCACACTCATGCCATTGAGGAAGACAAACTAGATATGAAAGGTCACACTGTGTGGTGAAAAAGTGATGTTTTTCAAGTTAAAAAGCTTAATACTTTATAAACTTACAGAATTTATACATTTTTTTCCTACTGTAAGGCTCATTTCAATGAAAGATTTTTTAAAAAGTAACATTTCAGGGTCTCACTCTGTAGAATGTGAGTTAGGTGGTCAGTGGTGTGACTTGAGGACTTGTCTTGGTGCAGCTTTGAAGAGGCGAGGGGCGTGGCTAAGGTCACATTTTTGGCAGAGTAGAGGCAGAGCCATTCTTACTGTGCTGGGCAGAGGATGAGTGAATCCTGGAGAAACTAAGACCGTGAGGCCTGTCTTTGAGAATCAGAAATTAGCTAAAGGAAGCCAAGGTCACATTCCAGACATCAGTCTCGAGTGATATTTGCACTGTCACCTGAATATTCTCATTGACTTCTGCCACCTGGATGGAGCCCAGTTCAGAGCTTGGCAGATTGCTGGCGGAGCTGGGAAGTCGCCAAAGGGCCGTTGTAACTCAGCAAGGGCACAGAAGCCAGCTCTGAGAGTGGATGGCCTCAGCTTTCTTTCCAGCTCCCTGGCTTTCTTATTAGAGGGCACTGTGATATGGAAGATACATCAAATTTGGGGTTCAGTCACACACGACTTTACATCCTGGTTTTGCAACTTGCTTGCAAATTACAGAAATTTATTCAACTCTAATTTTTCTCATTTATAAAACAAGAATAAAGTCCTCCTCCCCCGAATCTTCCCATATGCAAAAGTTTGTTTTGTTTTCTCTCTTTTTCTCTTTAGTCTTTATTGAGTCAGCATTTATGTGCCAAGTTCTGTTAAACATTTGGCAACTGTTGTCTCATTTAATCCTTGTCAACAAGAAAAGTTTATTTATGATCTTTGTTTAATAGTGAAGAGAATAAGTATCAGAGAACTTAGAGTGACCTGACCAAGGTCAATTATGCAATAAGAAGTGGAACCAATTTCCCACTGAGGACGTTTGGAAGCCTGAGCTCTTGACCACTGTTTGTGAAAATGACAATACTTGGCAACAGTGATCAGGTCTGTTCACAGCTAAAACTTAACAGAGGGTAATGCTGTACTTTTCTTCAAAGATCTGTCCATTGGAACTGAGGCTCTGCAGTCAAACATCATGGATTGTGGGCAGGGGATGTTGCTAAGTGACAGAGCACTTGCCTAGCATGCATGGGACCCTAGGTTGGATCCTCAACATTACACAAAACCACAAAAACCTACTTGGATTTCACTGGCCTGATAAACCACTTCAGCAGCATAGCAAAGGCACTGAATTAGCTAAACATCTATCCTAGACCGAATGACTTTTTATTATGATTGTGAATGCTTGCCTCACACAGAAAATAACTTTACAATATTTTCATCTAAATTATTATGAAAAAGTCATACTGTTTTTTTTATCACCTGGAGACCTTTTTGACTCAAAACTTTTTATTGATTCCTTTGGCATTTTTTCCCACTGGTTTTTATTTGTTATATTGGTTAATGGGTTTGTTTACTTGTCAGATTCAAACATGCATATAACATTCTTTAATAATACCTTCTCTCTTTTAAATATATAAAACATAAATGTTAAATTACTTACTGAATATCTTTCTAGATGCACACATGAATGAGGACACACACATATGTACACACAGGCATATGCATGCACACCCACCATGTCCCACCTTGTAGCTCTTATGTGTGCCTTTGCACCTAACTACGTAGTCTCAGAGATACCCTTGAAAGAACATTCCCAACCAAGGTGGGAAAGCAAAGGCTTTAATGGATTTATTCAGATTTCTGTAACAATACTATTTTGTTACTCTGTCAGTCTACATGTCATGAAAGCTTAGCACACAGAAGTTCTCCCCTGATGATATGAATCCCCCAGTTCTTGCAGAACTGAACCAGCTATTCCAACTGTAACGATCTGTACACTGTGGCATCTTGCCAACCAACAGATAATGCTGGATCTTGAACAAACTGAAAAATGTGATGGTAATATGGTTATTGGTAATAGTTCTGACAAAATACAACCCCTTCTTTAGAAGATAGTCTTCCTTATAAATGAAAACACTGAATCAGATTTGCAAATCATTTGGGTAACAAGTCTATTTGGAAGGCATGAATGATAAATTCACGGAATAAAGTTACAACTGGTTTTATATTGCTTTTTTCCCTATTACGCACTCACATGCAAAACTCCATTAAAATTTCAGAGAAAGTAAGTTTTTGGAGGCATTTACAGAATTAAAATCAAAGGTTAATTTTAATGAGTCAATATTTTGCTTTTAATGCAAAGATTAACAGAAGCTGAGAGTAATATTTAAAATCAGCTGTTAAAGTATATGTGATGCGTGCTCAAAACACTACCCTTTAAAAACAAACCATAAAAACGCTGTTAATTTTGAAGGCACATTATCCAGTAACGTTGAAAGATTTAGTGTTCCAGTAAGAGGAGTTTGGAATTCCAAAACACAGAGAATTGACATTTTTATTGTTTTGCTTAGTTTAGTTTTATTCCAGGAAGTTAGGAGACACCGGGCCAGACAGTATAGATGACAAACCATGATGTGAATGCTTCTCATCTAGTGTCAGGAAATACTCCCAACCCTGCACGGGACTCTCTGCAAAGCCTGCTCTTTGTTTTGAGTACATCCATTTGCTTCTTTGTGTTTAATTCTATGTATTACGTACAGGCAAGTAAATTGCAATTACAGGACAATAACCCTTCCGAAGAACTTGTTTTTATGTTATCAAAGACCAAAAGAAGAAACTATCACTGATCTGTGAGATGTTATTTGGTATAAATCGAAGATCTTCTTGCTATAGTAGCTTTACAAAGGGCTTCATAATAAAAATTTGTCAGGTCCCACACATGTGCACATATGCATATGACTATTCTTTAAGTGATTTCAAATTTTTAAAAATATTCACTAAAAATCAATTTTAACAGCGAATGTATTTTGAATTTGTGTGGGTTTTGTTTAGTTTTGTTTTGTTTTTGTGTTTCTAAGACAGGGTTTTACTATGCAGTTCAGCAGGCTGTCCTTGAACTTACTTTGTAGCCCAGGCTGGCCTCAAATTCATTCTATAATCCTCCTGCCTCAGCCTTCCAAAAGCTGGGATTACAGACATGTACCACTATGCCTGGCCTTGATTTGTATTTTCTTAGCTCTCTTCATTTTGGTCATGCAAATGTTGAGAATTGTGACCCCAGAATATCTTTCTTCATCATTTTTGACACTGATTCTTCTTGTTTTGTTTTTCAATCTTCCCACCTGGGAGTGGCGTGTAAATTTCTCTTGAAAGACTAGAGTTGGCTTCCGTTCAACTAGCACATTCTCTACAGGGCATCAAATGTATACTATCCTTATTGCAAAAAAGTAAGAAAAAAGAAAAAACAAAACAAAACAGAAAAAAATGTAATGCATTTTTAAATTATTGAATGATGCCAGCTGAATCTTACAAATTTACTGAAATAATGAGCACAAAATTATGGTAAAAATCTTTCTCCTACACATATTGCTGATAAAATTTTAGCAGTATTATTTCAGACCAAAATAACAAGCTACAGTAGAATGGTGGTATGTTTACAGTGTGTTTTGCTTACAAAAATATATTTTTTTTAGTTTCATTTTCAAAGCAGATATTTGGTGCTGGCTCAAAGGCAGAACGTCATCCTCAGATCTGAAGGGAAAATTGGGGTGCTGACAGGGCCTTGCTGTATGGAAGCTCTGGGGAATGGTCCTGGTTTGCTTCTTCAGACTTCTTGTACCCACAGTGCCTTGGTTTGTGGCTGTAAGATTCCAGTCTCTGCCTCCTTTTCACGTGGCCAACTTATCCAGGTGTCTGTGTTCCACACAGTGTTTTTTTGTGTGCTTCTCTCTCCTTTTCTTATGAGAGTAGTTATCTTTGGGGATTGTGGACACATCTTATTCCTTATGACCACATCTTAACTATATCTGCAGAAGATATTCCAAACAAGGTTATTCTGAGATATTGTGGGTTAGGACATTAACAAAAGCACAGCTTGGGAGACACAGCTGAAATCATAACACCTGCCAACATCACTCAAGGTGATGGATTATAGCATGAGTGGAACACAGTTTACGCTCTTCAAGTCAAAGGAGATTATCACTACACAAATCGAACCCTGAGGTATCAGCAGTAAGTGCTGCATGGACAATTATACAATCAAATATGCAATTAGATTCAATGGTCGGAAAGATCATTCCAGGGTGACCTTCAAACAGGACAAGAACGTGGCAGCTATGCACAAATGGAGAAAGAGGATTCCAGGCAAAATCTTCCGGAAGGGAATCTGCCCCGTTGATGTGATCCCATTGATCACATCAAAACCTGTTAACAGGAAGAGTTTCTGTTCTTTCCATGAGTTTACACACCCCTTCAAAAATTGTCTTTCTAAATTGTCTTTCTAATTGTCTTTCTCCTTGTGGAAAATTGTCAGAGAAGTGTGGACAGATGGGATAGCAGTCTAAGGAACGGGACTTTTCATGCCATAAAACAATGTACTCATGTTTAATTTGAAGATGACGAATTGTTTTATGAACTATCAGGCAATTTTCATAGTTTGGCAGCTATTTTACAAAAACATACTGAAACATCACTGCAAGAATTGTACAAAACAAGAAATTATTAGTGACAAAACAACCCTATTATTTAGGTCAGTCTTGTTCATAGCTCCTTAAGTTGTATCATCTCATTTGCATTTATGAAGCATTGATAAAAGGCCTTCAGGTCATTCAGATGACAACCACCTCAGCTTTACCTTTATATTAGTACAGAAATAATGTGTAAATAGTCGTGTTGATCAAATATGCTTATATTTCACAGAAACTATATTTTCCCAAGAATCTTATCCCCCCTTTTAATTCTATAGATCAAATTGTCTAATACATAATCTGGGCCTGAGATCTAAGTGGTTTTGTCTCAAAAAAGTTAAAACATTGCATGACTAAATGAAAATGAAGATAGAAGGGCCACAAACTCTTGCACTTTTTTAATGTCAGCTTTGAGTTTGCATTTTTAATGCTCCTAGGAAGATTCACAGTAAAAAAAAATAGGGCACCTTTTCAACATCTCTATTGTTTGCAGACATAAGCACATTATATTCACCAAGCTATTAACTTTTCCGTATGCCTGTCAGTTTTTCAAAAAAAGACCAAGACAGTGTAAAAAATATGTGTCAGAATCTGATTCAGAAAGTGAATAAAGTACTCAGCTCCCAGAATAACCTCAGGACTGACCCAGTTGAGTCTGGAATGAGAAGCTTTCTAAGAATATGGTTGCTTCTCTGTAATTGTCTATGACTTGTCTTGTGCAAAAATTTAACCAGGACTGCAACCTTTCAGGATATTTAAAATTTAAAACTTCTCATCTTTGCATTCATTTGGGGGGACCAATAAACAAATGCTTAAAATTAATTAAAGAAACAGCAATCTTTCTATAGAAAACATTTCAGAAAACTTATAGGAGAGTTGTACTTTTTATTGAATAGTATTTCAAGTTATTGTGTTACAGGAAAGACAGGTGATTAAACACAAGGGCAGGTCTATTCCCTAACCCTACGGTGACTCAAGACCTAGACAAAGCAAATATGTTTTGGTCATGTGTGGAAGGGCAGAGCAAAGCCAACCTCTCACTGGCTCCATCTCCTATCCATATCTAGGCTTCCCAGGAGCATCAGATGCAGGTGTGGGGCACTCAGGGTCCCAGCTCAGGAGAGAGGTACCAGGAAAGGAAGTTACCAAGCATGATGCGCCAGCACAGCCAGAAATGAGGTCAGTTCTTATGCCATCCAGTTTCTGTTGCTTCCTAAAGGTATGCAATGACAATTTCTCAGAGGACTGAGTGAAGTCTGGTTCCCTACAAAAACTAACATTGAGCTATGAATAAATTGTTAATATTACCAAATAGTGTACCAAAGAGTTAATAAAGGCTGGCACACTCAAAACGCACATAAATAAGCTGCTAAGAGTACAATCTCCATGGTTTCTGAGAATTAAGATCTAACACACATTTAGCTCAGCGGCATAAGTACCTGCCTTGCAAGCAGGCAGTCGTGAGTTCGATCCTTTTCATCTGCATGATAAAAATGAAAAAAAAGACAAAAAAAAATTTAAAAAAAGATCTAACACACAGCCTACTCTAGCGAAAGCATCTATGAACATTATTTCAGAACGGCAAGATGAGAACCTAAAAGAAGATGTGTTTAAGAAGACTATCACTTTTTTGTACCCTTTAAAAGGTTGTATGCATTTGTGAGGTACAGCATGCACCTATACAATGTTTTATGATCAAATTATTGTAACCAGTATTTCCATCTCCTTTAACATTTCTCACTCTATGTGTGTGTGTAAGAGAAAGAAAGAGACAGACAGATACAGAGAGAAACAGAAAGACAGAGAGACAGAGACCGTTGAGAGTCTTAAACTCTTTCTTCTTCTTCTTCTTCTTCTTCTTCTTCATAAAGTATATAATAAATTGTTACGAACTATAGATCTCCTGCTGCACTGTAGAGAGTCCTGTTTGACTCACTCTTTTGATTCTAGAAGTGTGTTGTGAGAGCAAATACACGAATCTGTTGCCTTTTTTTTTTTTTTTTTTTTTGTCTCTCAAGGTTCACACATGACTGAGCAACAGAAGGTGGAATATCCTGCAGACAGAAACGTCATGACCTTGACATAGTTTGTCACTCCCAGAACAAAACACGAGTTAGTGCTGGGGAACAAATAGCAACTTCATGTGAAATGGATGCAAATGCACTTATGAAGGTGTACTTCAGAGAACAGCACCATCCCACCGAAGTATCTGAGAGAACCTAGCTGTAGTGATGCTTACTGTCTTTTCTCACATCACTGTGACTTGCTGCCAAAGCACCGTGAGTTTTCAGGCATCAGTAAGGACTGAGAATACAAATAAGACAAAATGCTTGACAGTTGTGGATTATTTCAGAAAAGTAAGGGAGGGCTGATATCATGAGTCAGACATGCCTTAAGTTTCAGAGGCTTTTCAGATCCTGTGTATGTGGTGAAACACACCTCCTCTTCCTCGTCATTCATTCCATGGCCTTCTCTGATTCTCTCTGACCCTGGTGATAACTTCTGACTTCTCTGGAGTAGGGAGGTAGATTTAATCATGATGGTTTCCTAAACACAGGTCAAACAAAGTAGTCATAAATGAGATATATATGGTATAAGCAACCTTTTAGTGAAGAGGACTAACGAAGTGGATGGATCCCAAAGTCTTTAAATCTGAACTCTGCATGGTTCACACTCACCCTGGTTGTCTACTTTTGTGGTTTTAACCACAGGAAGTCCCACATCTGTTCAGAGAAAACACAGAGGGGAAAAAAAGGATCATTTTAATCTTAGCCTAAGTAAATCAGTGGCTAGGACCGTGAGCTGGAATTGGAAGAAGAGTGAGATAGAGATTCTGCTCTGTATCATCATTCTGAAGATGGCGATCTATCCCTAGTGTGAGGGTCAGAAAGCTTTGCAGTCAACAGGTCAAACACAATGCAATCCTGAGAACTAAGTTTTTCGTTTTTCATTTTTAAAAGGAAGAGAAAGAAGAGAAATAGAAAAAGAGAAACACAAGAAGAATGTCATGAAAAAGGAGTGAGAACTTATGTCATCAATAAAACTTAAAATATATATTATCTAACGTTTTACAGAAAAGGTTGCCAATATTTGGTATAACTTTTATAATTTCTTAGCGCTCTGAAGCCACTGCACAAAACTACTGAAAAGACAGGGAGTGTGGAGGTGAGAACCAGACTTTTAGGAGGCATAGACTCCTGGTGGCTTGCACTCAATCCAATCACCTGGGTGGGAGAATAAAAAGCATAGTCCAGCTCGGAGCCTAGTGGAAAAAGAAGAGATAGTGAAGATGTGGGTGTTTTAAAGCTTCTGGACTAACTTCTAGAAGAACTGGGCAGTTGTTAATAGTTAAGGAAAGAACCAGGGTTCTTCACATTGAGTTATTATTATAGTTGCTTCCCAAGAGAAGCCCAGCTAGGACAGTCAATCAGCAAGAAGGTGGGAATGCAGATGAAAAAAAGGAGAGAGTCACAGCATGAAGGTCAGAAACCTCAGGCTTTCCCAGGCAATCTTATTTAACAAAGAAAGAGGCACCACAGGGAAGTTCTGGGAGATGTGCTCAGAAAAAAGATTGAATTCAGATGATAAAATGCTTGAATGTCAAGTCATCTGAATGCCACCATTTAAATTCAATCAACCAAGATTCTTTTCCGATTTTTGTTTTACTTTATTTTTATATGTTGTGCTCTTTGGAATTGTAAATCTGGAAACTCTGCATCTTGGATGTCTTCATAGGTTCAGGATCAAGGACCTCTTCGACAGATAGAAATGTTCAGACTTCAAGAAATGAAATTATAAGAGTTCACTCATATCCTTAAAAAAATCAACATTACTCTCCACAAGCTGGAGACTGAAACTAGATCCACACCTATCACCATGCACAAAACTTAGGTCTAAATGGGTCAAAGACCTAAATATTAAAATAGAAACACTAAATCTACTGGAAGACAAGGTAAGCAGAAGTCTTGGAGACATAGGGGTAGGCAGAGAGTTATGAACAAAATGTAAACTGCATGGGGAACACTTCAAAGAATCAACAAATGGGATCTCATATTATTGAAAAGTTTCTGCACTTCAAAAGAAATCACAGAGTGAAAATGAAATCCACAGAATGGGAAAGAATTTTAGCCAACAACCCCTCAGACAAAGGACTTATATCAAGAACATATAAAGAAATGAAAAACATCAAGCCCCCCAAATTCAAAGACCTTCTCCAAAAATGGGCATCTGAGATGAACACACAGTTCTCAGATGAAGATATACAAGTGGCACATAAATACATGAAGAAATATTCACCATCACTGGTCATTCAAGAAATGCAAATTAAAACAGTATTGAGATTTCATCTCACTCTGGAAAGAATAGCTGCCATCAAGAAATCAACTGATAACAAACGTTGGCGAGGCTGCAGGGAAAAATGAACACTGCTCCGTTGTTGGTGGGGGGGTAGACTGGTGCAACCACTATGGAAATCAGTATGGAGAATTCTCAGAAGACTAGGATTGGAAGCTCCATTCAATCCAGCTAGTCCCCTCCTGGGTGTTTCCCCAGAAAAACTGAGAAGGTCATATCACAGTGATATATGTACACCCATGTTCATAGCAGCACAATTTGTAATAGCTAAATCTTGGAAACAACCAAGATGGCCATCAACCACAAAGTGGATGAAAAAGATGTGGTATTTTTATACAATGGAATATTAATCAGCTACAAAAAAGGATGACCTTGAAGCCTTTCACATTGTGTTTCTAGTGTAAAAAGGAATAATAAAACCCAAAGGAGTAATAAAATCCAAAATGTGTAATTATTATTGTAAAAAAAAGAAAAGGAAGTGCTCTAAAGGACATAATTGCATGTATGTTTAAGCGTGTAGGATCAATGACCATATTACTGGTCTTTTTTCGATCCTTGAACTGTTTGAAGTCTTGCTGTTTGAATGTCCGCTTTGTGTGCTTAACTTTGTAGCTTGAACAACTATTCTAAGAGGACAATATGTAATTTACCAACTAGTGATTTCTTACTGTTTGGTTTTTTTGGAAATTATGTATTATTTCTACCCTTTTTCTGTTTTGTTTTTTTCTCTTTAAATAAAATTAAAAAGACATTATAAATCATTTCAATGAGCATTTGATAACATTAACATTTTCATTTATCAAATGATAATAAGAACACTCAAGCACCTGCCAGCAGCATAGATAATAGGATACTACCAGTATTTGTGCTTTCCTTTGCCTTTTTGTCAAAAAACAACAGTCTGATGTTTTTGTTAGTCGTTCCTTGTTTTTCTTCATAGCATTATCATGTATGGATGGATTTCTACCTGATTTTGAGCTTTATATAAATGGAACCTTGTGCATATTCCTCTAACTTGTTCTATCTCAGTATTATGATTTTGAGATCCAAGATCCAAGTTAATGCGTATAGCTAGCAAGTAATACATATATACAGAATTAATGGCCATTCTTCTTTCTTTTTAAATTGGACAAAATTTATCTCTTCCAAAGTAGACATTAAAATCAATAATAAAAACAAGCAAACAGAAAATGAGATACCAGTTAAGGATGCATTTCTTTTAGTTCCTAGAGCATTGAAGTCCAGCGCCTCTCTTGGAATTCTTCGTTCTTGTGAGTACAGTAGTTGCTTATTATATCATGCTCAGTTTGATTTGCTCTGACACTAATCTGTACTCTTTTTGATGATTTGTTTTTTTTCAAATCACTAGTTCCTGGATGGAGTTAAAGGGCTCTCTCGCTACTTCAGAAACTGCCTGTGTCCTTTTGCCCTTACCCTGGGCATTAAGAACATTCAGTACACTTCTGTACTAATCAGCCTCAGATTGTGTTTCAGAACATTAGGGAAAATACTTTTATAAAACAGTTTACTTGCATACCTCAGACTGCTGACAGCACCTGACTTAATATTTATAATCCAGTTATTCTGGACACAAAGTAAGTCTGACAGTGATAATTTTGTGTTATTTATCTTCATTGTTAGACTTTTGTCTTAAGTCTATTAAAGGATCTATTTCATCTATGAAATCTTTATCAGAATGCATGAAAATCATAAATGAAATTGAGCCATTGTCCCTTCATGTCCTGACCCTGGTTAGAGGACATTTGTCAACTCCTACAGCTGTAGGCATTCATCCATTCCCCCAAGGGAGTATCACAGAGCATCAGCGCACAGTCCCAAGATAAAGTCACCACAGGGCAAGTCTCATTATCTAACGTGTTGTTCAAAACTATTAATTACCCTTTCATCCCTTCCTGCAGAACAAGAGAAGAAAATATTTCTGAGAATGGTGGAACGTTTTGTTTCTCTGGCCTTTCTCTAAGTCCCTTTTCTTCTTTGTTGTACGTTTCACAGGTGGGTTTCAATTCTGAATAATTACCATACGTTTCTCTCCCCTAGAGAATGACCTGACTTGCGCAATCTCATTTTTAAGCTTCTATGCTTAAAGCAATTGGTGTCATAAATTATATATTTGTTACTTGATATACATCTTCCAATGAGTAGTCAAAAGCCATCCCATATGAATACTCATTTTCACATTAAAGGTGGAAGACTAGAAACACCATCCCCAAAGACCAAGAGATAGATACATTTCTTTTGAAAACCGTGCTTTTGCTTGGTGGGAAGTTTTATTTTTATCTTCAGAAACATCATTTTAGATGTGCATAATCAGTTCAGCAAACTGCTTTTTTTAGTGATGAATAAATATCAAATTAAACTTGCAATTAAAGTTTACTAAAAATCTAGGTTGTTATAATTGTGTTGATGATAAGAGTACAGAAGTAGAAATGATTGATGAAGATTACTAATTGTGCAGCTGTGTTCAGAGCACATATGTCTATAGACCATCCAGTGCTCTTGAGCTAAAGAAAACACATTGTCCCGGGAAAGACCTTTGTCCACAGCATCAAGATGCAAAACACTTCTGTCACCTCTTGATACTCAGCTTCTCAAGGTCAACCAGATTGATAGAGTGTAATCTCTTCTTTTCCTTCTCATTGTTCTGTTGACTGATTTTTAAAATACCATTAGTGTGAGAAATTGTCATGTATTAATAACATAAGGAAAAAGCTTCTTATTAGAACTCAGCCTTCTTTTTTCCCTAAATTTTGATATTCTCTCTTGGCATTTCATATTAAAAATGGCTTATTGTGAGCCTCATGATATTACTAAGAAATAAAATCATTAAATATTTGACTTGTAGACAGAAGACATGGGTTTGGTCATATTGCCTGTAACTTAAAGTAGGAAAACATGCAAATTAGGTAAATTTTTTTTACTGCATATTTTCAGATTAGTATAAAAATCACATTTCTTTCCTGTGTTTTTTACTTTTACAGGAAATCATTATCTTAGTAAAAAACTTTTACTACAAAAGAACAGAAATCCATACACATTATATAAAATTGTAGTGTAACATCTCAAACTTTGTTCTTTTATATTCCAGTCATGTATGGCTTAGTAATACAATCAAACAAAAAGAAGAAAAGAAAAAAAAATAAAGAGGGTAAAGAAAGAAAAGGAGGAAATGTGAAGAATGAAGAAAAGAGAGGTAACAGAGGATATTATTACTGTTATGATTGTTAACAAGAAATTCTGAGTAGGAAAAAAATGATAAAGTATGAAAAACAATATGGAAATATGAAAAAGGTGGTCATTTGACAGTCTTAGGTACTGAGACTACCAAATGGATTACTCATACCAATATTTAACCTGAAAATCCTTTAATTAAGAAAATACAACCTCACAGAGGTGGCTTGGTGTGATGGAAAAGACTAACAGCGAATAAACCAATACCTGTTTTAGAAGTCAAATGCTTCTTCTGGGATCTTTTTCTACCTCTGAAGTGCAAAGTGCCCTTGGAGATATTATGTAACTAATTTACCCTTGTTTCCTCACATTGGGAATTGGTGATAAGGTATTCACCAACCCAACCCACATGGTAGGGTCATCTGAGGATTCAGTGAGATCATTTCTGTGTCAAAGTTCTTTGAAGATTGCAAAGCACCAAAGTATCACTTAACATACGACCACAAGTGGACCTCACCCTGTTCCTTCACCTGACAGGTAGAAAGTCAAGCACAGAAGGAAATCGAGAATGTGGGTTGCATCCTTTCTATGGAAAATGCAGCCAATTTTATTATCCATTGCCAGATTTTTTAAGTGCTTAATCTTTGTCTCTGTCTTTGTCTGTTTCTGTCTCTCTGTCTCTTTGTGTCTCGGCTACTGAGCAAACACCAGAGTGGAGACCCGGCCTTGGTAGAGAGAACTTTCCAGATGACTCCTCTGCAATATCGGCCGAGCGCCTCCTGTCAGAGCTGGGCAGTTGGCGGTGGCAGACAGATTCAGTGAGGACAAAGGCAGACGCACCTCCAGAGCTGCTGACACATCCTCTCTTGCATTAGCAGCTCAAACTTCTGGGCTCCAGAAAGGAAATAGAAGTTTGGAAACAGAACAAAAGGTTTAGCATGCGGGGCTGAATTTTGGAGAATTAAAAAGGTGTGTAGGGAGGAAGCACCACTGTTTATTCCCTCCCAGGGCTTAAAAAATATTTTATCTTCTTCTAATAAAACATAGTCTTAGTCCAAAAGCTTTGTTTTCATGAGGGTGTGGCCTGTCCATGTGGAAAATTTTCATGACTTTTCCATGCTATTCTGTTCCTCCCTCCTTTGTTCAGTCATTCACGGTCTTTGCCTGCTGTGGTCCCAACACATTGATCCTACAGATCAACTGTATTTGTGATTTAAAGCTTCAAAGATCCTAATAGTAGGGAAAAAAATCAGAATTCTCTTGAAATAAAACCAATTACTTACCAGATGTCTGTAAGAAGAGCTCACTTAAATCCTTCTTCTCTAAGTCAATCAACCAGTTTTGTTTAAGGGACTATATTGTCAAAGACACCCTGTTAAGCCTTAAATTCAGCAAATCAACTGATGTGAACAATTTGTCACTAAGGTGGGAAGACTGTTTTTGCCCTTGCATCTCTTTCCCACTTGTCCTCTTTCCCTGCTCCTCTGTCTGAGGCAGGGGTTGGCAGCTATTTTCTGTGGAAGGACTCTGAAGCCAGCCTAGCACAGTTGGTGGGCAAATGTCTCCATCAGAAAATCATGAATTGGTTTAAAACAAGGAAGGGGTGATTTATAAAATTCCTTTCCCTGTAGATTCACCTGTGCTTTCTTTTCCTTTGGTGGCTCTGTGATGTGAATCCTGTCCTAGTTGCCATAAATGTCACACAGGCACGAGCTCACATGTAGATACTGCTTTTCACGGAGCCATGACCTTAATGTTTTCGAAGAGGCGCTCATAGATCCATGCATTAAGTGGCACAACTGACGCGAGCTCTCTCTGGCATGACAGATTTCAGAAACAAAAGAAAACTAATGTAATCTGCAGCCGAGCAGCTCTGCTACACTGTCCAGTGAATTCTGAAGCCACAGTCATCATTTGCCCTCAGAAACGGTATTCTGGCTGCCTGGCGAGCACATTTTGAGGCTCCTTTCTTCACAATGCAAGAGCATATCACTACCTTTCACCTGCAGCACATTTTCAAAAAACAAATTCTAATTCTTTGAAGATTTATCTTTTAAAAAAAAGAAAAAGAAACCTCAAGCCTAAGCAAATTTTTATCTCATTGGAAAAATAATACAAGCAAACTGGAAATATATTTTCACTCCATGAAGCATTTAATTATTAAAAATAATATGTTTTTGGAAGCAGATCTCTTTTGAGATCTGCAAGCCAAAACATACACATATACTTTATTTTTTCCTCTTTTTAGGTAAGAAAATGAATCTGCCTCATGGGTTCTTCAGGAAAGACCATGTTCACAAAAATCAGCTGCTTGTCTTATTCTTAAACAAGATTCTCTACCTTAAATTGTTCAAGATGTGATAAAATGCAGCAAATATTTAAATTTTAAAAATGACCACAGTAGAAGATCATTACCATCACTCTGTCTCACGACTCTGGCCCTCACTTCAGGTACGCCTGCCATTTTCTAAAGGAGGCTCCAGGTCCTCTTTAACGTCTTTGGCTGTGCTGACATAGCTGCCTGCATGTCCCAAACTGATTCAAGATGTTTACTTTCTGTGGTCATTTTGACTTTGGAGCACAGCCCAAAGTCACACAGTGCCAGATCTGGCAAATAAGGTGGATAAGGACCCACTGTAATGTTTTTATCTCACAGAAATTACTGTAAACATTTTAAACTGATTCAGTACATTAAGGCAGTCATGGAAGGACACAAAAGAGGACTTCCAGAACTGCTCTGGAAAGTGGCAATAGTGATGGAATCAGGGTATTTGAAGGGAGGGGCATTATTTTGAGGGCAACTAATAGCAATTCTTCTTTCCTGTAATAAACTTAAAAATTTTTATTTGAACATTCACCATACCACTGATGGTGAGTAAAAAATTGGTAGTCAATTTAAACACCAGCTGGACTGAATCAGCGTGGTGCTGAGTGGAGATGGCCCACCTGAGGAAAGTCGCTAACATTAAAAGGAGACCTGAAGAGGAAGAGTAGCATTGTGAGTTCTCCTAAATGAGTGTTGTGGTTTGGAGTTGTTGGTTCTTTTGGACCTGATGGTTCTCCTGGAGAAGCTTATCATGCTGGTTTCCATGATAGGAACTCAGCTGTAATCACTGGAGGAACTCGGGACCTTGCCACTGAGAACAGCTGCAGTTCACTTTGGGGAGTCTGGTCCTTACTTTGCTTCCTGGTTCTGAAGGGGAAGATACGTGCTGTTCAGTCTCCAGCAGAAGCCTGTCATGCTGGCTTCCTGATGTGAGCTAAGCCCTTCGCATCGTTGGAGGAGCTCAGGACCTCACAGGAGCCCTAGTCCTTATTTTGAGCAGTGCTTCTTGGCTCTAGCATAGAACTCTCAACCTACTGTCACAGATCCCTCAGCCTACTAGCACAGACTTTCTAATTTCCACTGCTGATCTTGGGGACTTCCCAGCACAGATCTATGAAACAGACTTTCATGAGTCATTGTCATGGGCTCTAGGCCTCCAGTTGGAAACGTACTGGGCATTGTCATGGGTTCTAGGTATTTACCTGGACTCATGCAGGACACTGCTGTGGGATCCCAGCCTTTGGCTGAATTCTTTAGGTCTTTAGTATGTGGACACATTTCCTGTACTTTCTTTGTATTTGACTTCTTGGGTGATCATTATAAATAATACCATCAATTCTGTGTCCTGTTATTGTTTTGTTCTCCTTGCAAACCCTGACTACAACACCACTGTAGCTCAGTGGTAGAGCACTTGCCTAACATGCAAAGGGCCCTGAAGTTCATCCCTGGTACATTCTATCCATCCATCCATCCATCCATCCATCCATCCGTCAAACAATATAAACAAGCATAAAACATTTACTAAAATTTTTATGATGCATTGGTGGTAGGATGTCAACTTGGCTTTGCTGAACTATATTTCCTAGAATCTCTGTTCTTATATATTCTGCATAAGGCAAGCTTCAGAGAAGTTCTTGTGGAAGAAAAGGAGAGATGACCGCCATATTTTGTCTTCCCTCTGTGGCCTCTGCTGGCTTACCTCACTTTTGTACCACGGTTGCCACCTTGAAGCACCTCCATCTTCCCCTGGTTTCTATTTTAGCTTCGTGATTTCTTCTCTGCTAGGTAGACAGTAACAAATGAATACAGTGAATGTTAAAGGCAAGAAAGAAAATCCATGACTCTCTAGGAGTCTGGTCTGAGGCATGCTGAGGTATTCTTTTCTGAACCATTTACTTGATTGTTAAAAAAGCTACCAGTTGTGAGTAGGGCTCAGCAGTTCCATATCTAGATTGCTGTGTAAGCTGTCCTGCCATCTGAACCACATGAAAATCCAGTAGTGCTTAAAATGTGGAGGTTTCTCCAGGCTTCTGTAAATGGATCACAGTGCAAATCCTTAGTATTTAGAATACCCTCTGTGGATAATATTCCTTCTGTATGAGCCAGCCTTTGTCTTTGGTAAAGACTGAATGCCTGGCCATGGCTAATGAAATTACTCTGTGAGCTAGTGCTGTCTCACCCACCAGGCAGTAAATCTGGGGAAGAACCATAGTGCCCCATTAACAGAGATGTACTACACGTGAAACGGGGCTTGAGTAGGTCTGGCAGGCACTGATAAGTTGCTACCACATCTGTGGCTCCTATTGCTATGACACTGCTTTCTTCCAACCTGTACCCACGTCCTCTTGGGAAGTTTACTATGACCACATGATAGCAGAAAATGTAATTCAGACCTCATTTATTGATAATTCTGCACCCAGACAGACACCACTCAAAAGTTCATAGCTATAAACAAAATGAACAGCTGAGACAAAACAGTCCGCTCCAGCATGGCCGCAAAGTCAATGGTGAAATGAGATTATTTCCAGCATACAGAACTTGAAGTGCACATGTGGTTGCTTCTTTTGCTTCAAAGAAGTCTACATTAATTATTGGGTCAGGTATTTGGATGGAACATAACTGATAAATTGATGTCAAGGAAATCTAGTAAGGAGGTATGTTGATGACCTCTCCAGATGGACCTAGCATGTAAAGATATTTGTGTCCAGGTGAGTGCTTGCCAAAATATAAACTAAACAGAAGAGGATTTTTATTATCAAGTGCATAAGATAAGCCTTTCTAAGTTCCTCAGTCAGCTTCCTTCCAAATCACCTCCTCTCCTTACCAAACTGATTCATGAGAAATGTTGGCAATGGTGGAAAGGACAGGAGTTATGCATAGACTCAGTATCGAACCCTATTTAGATACAGTCACTTCAGAGTTTCTGGTCTGCTAAGAGCAGATACAAACAATGAGCTTCTGATGTAGCACCATTCTCAGCCACCAGGTAGGTACTCATTGGCAGGTTGATTACATCAGACCGCTTCTCTCATGAGAGAGTCAGTATCTTCTCCTACTGGAATAGACACTTCCAATATATATGCATGACTTCCCTGCCCACAGTGTTTCTGCTCAGTCCACCATCAAACCCCTTTATACATGACCATGGCACTTTGTATGGAATCATTTCTGACCCAAGAACTTATTTCACAGCAAATGAAATACAGAAATAGATTCATGAAGATTGCTGAGCTCTGTGTGCTCTTCATCAATCTGAAGCAGCTGGCTTGATAGAATGGTGGAACGCTCCTTTGCAAGTTCATTTATAGCCCTTTAGGATATGAAGTATGCTCTAAATCAATATCCTATATAGACTTCTGTCATTTCCTTAGCCAGTATTCATTGGTCAAGAAATCTAGCAGTGGAAAGGGGAGAGGATCTTCTCACTATTATCCCTAGCGATCCCCTTATACGACTTTTGCTTCTCATCTCTATGATAGATTTCCTTGATCAAGAGGTCTGAGTCCCAAAATGGGAAACACGTGCACTAGGGCACATGTGATGACTTGATTGCATTGGGGAACCACCTGACCACTTTAAATCATGCCACTGAATCACCAGGCAAGAAAGGAAGTGACTGCTACTATCCTGCTTCCACAAAGAGAGCTGAGAGAACACTGTTTCAAAATCAAAAGATATTCTAGTTTGCCTCTCATTACTCCCATATCCTGTGATTAAAACCAATAGAAAGTCATGTTAACTCAATTAGTACAACCGCTAGTTATCTAGACATTCTCAGAATAAAGATTTGGTTCACCCCACTAGGCAAAACTGTATAACCTGATCAAATGCTTATTGAGAACATGGATTAGATAGTAGAAGAAAGTAGTTGTAAATAGATATTAACTACAACCATATAAGCAACTGCACACACAGATAATGTGGTAATTATGTGCATGTTGTCCTTGTAGATATAATTTGTTTCATCAGTTATCTTTGTATTTATATTCTTTCTTACATCATCTAACATAAGATCTGTTAATATGTCAGTATGTAAGCTAGGATATCAATGGGGAAATGTGAATCAAGTAGAAGAATAAATGTCATTCAGAGTCCAAAAAAGACCCATGAGTCCTCTTCTAGGGAGTTAGTCTGGCTTTGATTGTATTTGGGATAGATGTATCATAATATGGCAAAGGCATTACTGTACTATTACTTTGATCTGGAGATTAAACATGACTTAAAGAGAGGCAGGATTGTCAAATTGTGAAAAGTGGATTTGTAATGTGTCAGCCTGAGTAGGCTGAACCAGAATCTCCTTGCTTGTATATTTCTGGGTAGGGTGGGGCATGAGTGAGATTCTTGGGCAAGACTCGGAGGCAGCAGTGAAGTAGTAGCCATTTGCTAAGTCATGTTTGTTGTCTGTGTTCACTCACTTCTTGCAAGAGGCAGCAGCTGAGCCCACATCTGTTCATCTTCACCTGGATGGCCTGGGCCAGGTGTGCATGCCAGCTCCATAGGGAAGACTCTGCTCAGCAGGACCTCAGTCACACAAGGTCAAAGGCATTTAGAACTGATAAGAATTTTGGACTAATCTTATAAGCTCCAGCAGTGCCTGGCTTCCACTGTTCTTGCCTTTTTCTTATTTTATAGCAATATTTCTTTATTCAATATTTCTGTCCTTAGATTTCCAGCTTTAAGAGACTTCACAATGACATAAAGTCAATCCCTGTGTCTGGACATGACACACATACACATTCATGCACACACATTCGTTTTTGCTTTTCTTATTAAATATTTCAGCTGAATTTTTAAAAGTTGCACTCTTTTTTAGTAAAAGATTTCTTGAGATATAATTAACACACAACAAACATTGACATACAAAAAACTGCACACAGTTAAATTTCATAATTTGGTAAGTTTGAGCATATCATAAAATCATAAAGCCACCACTATAATTAAGGCAGTGAGCATATTCATTACTTTCAGAAGTTCATATGGTTCTCTTTCTATTCCTCTCTCTCTGCTTTCCTTCTCCATTTCCCCAGGCAACAACGGGATGTGTTTTCTTTCTTTCTTGTAGTTTTTATATTCAAAGTTTTATATAAAAAGAATTATAAAGTATATACTCTTTTGTATGGCTTCTGTCAGCATAATTATTTTGAGATTCTACTATGTTGTATACTGTTATTTGTTCATCCTAAATAATTTACTTTAAAAGGCTAAATTATTAAATCAACAATGTTCTGTTCAATTATAGGCCAATCAGAAGCATTTAGACACATTGTGACTGAACTTAACTTAGAAGGACAGAAATCTACACAATCAGAAGAGATATGTCAGGAGTACTTTCTTATAGCAGGAAGATCTAGAGATAGTATCATTGCATCTGTTTCATCATTAAGTGACAGGGGAAAGTTTCTTTGGAAAGGGCCTCCAAGGCTGAACTCAACATCAAAGAGAAATCTTAGTCAGTGGGGTAGAGATGGACGGCACTGTCTCCACAAATTATGCTGGGAACCTGGAGAAGAGATGGGAATATTGAGTATGGCATCTCCTGAGAGAAGCATAAAATGCCATCACCCAAAATAAAGATGAGGCATTTTTGTCTTACTTTTCTTCAGAACCATCAGCATGTGAGTTCTGCAGTCTAGCTTCACTTCTTTTGCTAGTTTTGTTTTGCGCCAGTTTGCCTTTGTATCCCCCAGATTAGCCATGAGTGACAGATTGCTCCTTGGGGTGACTTCAGCCTCCGAGAGTGATCATGAAAAGCAAGAGTGCATTGCACATGATTAAAAATCAAAAGATGTGCATTTTAACCCAGAGCTGTTGTTTAATCAGATATGTGAGTATGTATAGTCAGATTCTATCTGAATCTCATTTACTCAGCCGTAAACTAAATAAAGTGGGCTATGAAATCCTGAAAATTTCTATGCTTTATACATCTGAGAGCAGGATACTAAGGACCAAGAGTATTAACAATTGTGGTCATGCAAGAACTATTCAGCCAACCAGAATCAGATTCCCATTGTAACTACTATAGAAACTACAACATTGCCTTATATCTACCTATCCATTCATCCATCCTCCATCCATCTCATTAGTACCAATATAAGCAAGACATTTTGACAGTGGAAATATAAAGATGAATATAACTCCCATTTCATGAAGGGAAGACAAATTTATTCATAACTAATCACAATATGTGAAATATTTAGTAAGTCTATTCAGAAAGGAGATGCTGCTTTGCTAATATCTTGGTCCTCAAAACCTTGTTCCAGATTACAGAAGGATAATTGTTTTTGCTGAAATAATTGAATATTTTAGGGGCAAAGAGCATTCTGGAAAGTTCTATCTGAAGACATGGAAAAGAAGGTTTAAAAATGTTAGGCTCATGGTTTTTCTTACTCCTGAACATGTTTTCGTGTAAGTTATAATTTCTAACAATATGTACTAATTGTTGCAGTCTTGAGGAGGAGAAGAAAGTCCAAATTATATTCTCCCATGTTACTGAAGTATTAACATTCACTCACTATTCCTTTATTGGAAAAGACCATGAGTTTTCTAAGCAAAGGAGACATTATCTAGAATTGGCCAATTTTAACTAATCTAGTGTTATTAACTTATGCTTTTAACTAAAAATATGATAATTAAAACTTGAAGCTCATTCTCATGAAACAAGAATACATTTTTGAAGTTTACAATAAATGCGAAGTTATCACATATTGGCATCTAAATTCTCCAGGGATGGCTTTAAACCATTAAATTTCTGCTTTCAAAACGCTTCTTGATTATTCTGATTTTTATGAGATTCAAACAGCTGTAAGCTAAAAGAGGAGAAGAAACAGTTTTTCAGGAAAGAAAACTTGGAAGTCACTTCTATTTTCTCTTCCTAACTTATACAAGACATTATTAAATAAACAGCATGTGCATATTTTAATAAATATAAATAAATTTAAAATTTAAAGGCTTAGCTATTCGCCACCCAGACACTTGAGTGAAATGTCTCCTCTACTGATTTCCCCGAAGCCAGCAAGCTGGGTCATGTGGCTGGCTGACCTCCCAGCACCACCTACCTCCAACTCCATGAGATGCCATCAGATCCCACCCAAAGGAGCCAGTCGTCCCCATGAAACAATGAGCAATTCTTAGGAGACACAACCGGAGCTCTGTTGCTGTGGCACAGGAAGGCTCGATAAGATCTCCCAGCCACAGCATTCTTTTGTGTCGGCAGACGCAAGTGGGATGTTCGTTCCTTCTGCAGCCCTTACAGGGCCAGAGGAAGCAGGCTTTGAAACACAATGTTCATTGAAATCGGCTTTCATCTGAGGAATCCCAGGGTGGCTCCTGCTTCGCGATGTGCATTCTGTCTGCAGCTGAGTTCTCCTGATGCATTTCCGTTGTTTGTTCTGGAGGAAGGCAGCACCTTTATGGACTCACCCTTTTACTAGGTAAAGGGCATCACATTGTACTGGACAAAGTGTTATGTGTCAGGATGTCTCCAGTGAGTCTGGAGTCTCAAAGAAGTATTAAAAATGAGATAAAATATAGTATAGCATAAAAATCAAGTCCTCCATGATCCTGGCTCACTGATGGAGAGGGTACACAAAGCCATCCTAATGACTTCTCGTAAGCATGTCCTTGTTTGGTGACCTTAGAAGCAGGAAGTCATTTGTTGCTCCTATTGAATACAGTGGGCACAATCCACAGGCCACAAATAGTGGAAATGAATGTAGCTCTCAGCATCAGCCCAGTAGAACCAGGCCAACAGAACCTCCACGATCCACTGTGGTATAATTCTGGCTCTTAAAGGCTTGAAAGCAGGGAGGAGGAAGCAATTCACAGTGTTCATCCTAAGTGAAAAGTTTCTTCTTTTCATTGCCTAATTTTATTAAGCAATTCATTTTCTTTCATGGGAAAGCCATTCTAGATCCAAAAAGATTCTCTTTGATTCAGAATTGACCTCAGTAACCACACAGAGAAATATGTAAACACTATTTAGTTCATCTTTTCATCCAACTATTTTTTCCTATCAATCATTGTTCTTCTTTCTTTGCTCCAAATCATCTGAGCCAACCAGCTTAAGGTGATAAACAGTTCTCAAAATGGATAGAAAATGAATACTATTTTTCATTTTCATGGCACTTTTAACTTTCTCAATTTCTCCCAAATTAGGTAGGCATTGTCTGTTTTCAACAATAGAAGGAGTCAATAGAAGATTCCAGAACCTTAATAAAGGCTGGCAATAGAATATAGAGGAAAACCCAAGTGACAGGACCCTGGATCAGCACACATTCTTCATGTTGGGTCCTGTAGGCATGTGGACAAGTGACCAGTCCTTAAGATGACTATAAATGCTGCCTCTCATCATCTTTAGAAGTTAATGTCCTGCATGTGTCTGTGCATGTATAATAAGACAAATGTGACTGATATACAAGGAGATACTGACACTGAAAAACCTGGAAGATGTTTCTTGGAATCCAGTGTACTTGTTATAGTCTAAAATCACAGATGACACTCTTGTAACTGACACTGAACGTTTATAACAATGCAGAAGTACCAAGAAATCAAAATTCTAGTTAAAACCATGAAAAGAGACCAAATCTGCTCTTTGAGTGGCTAATTTTTTTATGAGCTAATAACAGAACTCTTGAATTACTAGCAATTTTGCTTAGCCTTCTGAAAAATAAAAAAGATTGCCCAAGCTTAAGTACAACAAAAGTTCCTGTTTTTTCCCTACCACTGATTTGACTATCTTGTCTCTGACTGTAAACTATGTATGCAAAAATATATTTGCACTGTAGCATGTGCACATATTGCATACATGCACATATATATTTGCTTTGTAATGTGTGTGCATCGTTCTGTGAGCTACGACCATATAAATAGTGTCCAGAAGAGACACCACATATTATATTAGAGCATATATTATTCAGTTGACTTTAATTCAGCCAAAAAAAAAAATTACACAGGTGCTATGTGTTGTGCGTTCAGAACCATATAACCTGCAGCAGGGAAACAGATACATTCCAGCCTTCAAGTACCTCACAGCAGTGCTGTCTGAAGACAATAACAAGAGCAAGTGATTTCAGCATAATGTACTAGATGCTGAGATAGAATGATACTCGTGGTGGCAACAACTCTAACTGTAGGGATCTTAACTCGTCTTATGGGGCAACAGGAAAGGCTTTCACAGAAAGTAATACCTGAGCTGATACCTACAGCTGGAGAAGTAATTATCTAAGAGGAGAAGATAAGGAAGGATAGTCTATATGGGGAAGTAATGTGAGAAAAGTAAAAGGCCTGAAACACAAAGGCATATTTGAAGAGCTATAGGTACCTTGATACTGCTGAAAAGTACAGAGTGAGATCAAAATGGGGCGAGACATGTACACAGGGCCAGGCATGATGGCACTGAAATTTTACAGGCCCTTCAGGATGCAGATAGAATACATTAGATTTAAGTCTCATCCCTTTCTGATGGATTCTAAAAATTTGACAATGTGAGGTAAGGGGTAAAACCTGAAAAGGCAGTCGAGTTTTGCTGTATCAAAAGACTTACTTAAAGGTGATCAATGTTCACAAGAACTGAAAGCAGGTTATTAAGATCTTGGTTTGTTGTTTGTCACCTTTTAGGAAAACTCTAAAGACCCAGATCATTCCTCCTTAGATGTACCTAACAGGACATCTACAAAAGCCTAGGTCCTGAGTACAGTTCTGGGTATCTAAGAATATACGACAAAGAAACCAGGACATGAGATAAAAGGAAGAGGGAGAGAATCAAACTCTGCATGATAGGTGCAAAATATTGTCAGTGACCTCAAAATATGAGATTAAAAATGGAAAAATGGAAGAGGAGATGATTTTAAAGATACATGACTTTAAAGATACAACAGCAAGTTCAAGTACTCTTGAACTTGCTCTATAAGAAGTAACAACAGCAAAGACTATCTGAGTTTAACAAAGAGCAGAACTAAATAGGAATATTGGGGTCTTTCTCAGGGTGGAAAAATGATAAAAACCACTATTATTAATATAATTTCCAAATAATGCAGGAAAGACTTATTTAAAAGAAGAGTAAGAGGAAGAAGAAGAGGCAGAGGAAAAAGAGGAGGAGGAGGAGGAGGAGGCAGAAAGAGAAATCTTCGAGACCTTGACAGAAAGGGTTTTGGAGAAGTTCTCAGTGCCTCACCTGTCCCTCTATTCTTCCCAAACATCTCTTGTTAATACCTTGGCAAGGTCGAGAAGTAGGCATCTCTAGAGTAAGTAAGCTCAGCTATGCAATTTTTCAGACTCCTCAAAAAAAGCAAAAGCAAAATCTCTTTTCAAAAATCACATGCTATTAAAGATCCTAAAATACAAAGATATTTTTCCCCTTCTTATTTCATTTGTTTTTATTTGTCAGGGAGTTTTGTTTGTTATTATAATGTTCTAGAGATAAAAGAAAGCCAAATTTTCAATTATTTACATGAATTTCATCAGTCATCCTTACATTATTCAGTGTCAATCTCAAATGCAAATGAAAAGATCTTTAACTCATACATAAAATCATAAAAATCACACAATTTCTATTTTGTACTCACACATAGGTATTCTGTTCTCAGCAGAGGGGCGGAAATGTTGAAGGATTGGAACCCAATTGTTTTAACTTTCCTTCTTAATGCATATAGATACTAACAACATTAGCTGTGCCTTATTGACGGCTCAGAAGAAACTAAAACTTAAATATGGGTCACCCAATTGTCTGTGCTTTCTCCTTGAGGGTGTGGTTTGTGGCATACTTGATGATAAATACAGGGAAGTAAGAGGAATAAGAAAAGAGGTGATGAAATCCTTGCTTGTTTATGTTCCACAGAACTGCTTTCTACTTACACCTAGGGATTTAGCTCAGCGGCATAAGCGCCTGCCTTGCAAGCAGGCAGTCATGAGTTCGATCCCTGGTACCAATAAAAAGGAAAAAGACAAAAAAAAAAAAAAGAAAGTTCCCATTCAAAAGGAAAGCGTGGCCCTGTGGTGTTGTCAGACCACGCTCTCTCCCCTTGCTTGTCTGGCCATAGCCCTAACACCTTGCTTTGTCCCTCAGTGATCTGCTATGCTGTATAGCTGCGCTAGAAAGCTGTGCGTTTGGCTCATGGTAAACACTGCGTGTGAATGGAGTCATAATGAGTCATGCGATCATGTGCATGGCATGTATGTCCTGCCCATGTGCAAGCTTCACTGTCTCAGTTAAGACCCTTTACAAAACATGAATTGACAGATAAAATTATTAAGAATTTCAAATAGACAACAGCAGGCCACCAATCTAGCACAAGGCCCCCTGTGTGACTGCATGGTTGGTATATCCATGGAGCTGGTTCTAGGCTGATACCCTCCTAACTGTTGTTGGGAAAAACTGTTTCTACCCAGGTGTTATTGCTTATTCTGATCACAGAGCAATTTCAGAAAACCTGTTGGTGCAAAGCCAACTTCATAGAAACTTGGCAGTAAGACTAATCAATCTCAGAGCAACGTACATGGAAAAATGATTTAGCTGTCTGAGCCAAGAACTTCTTTATTAATTAGTGATAAAGATTCAATTGATTTAATATCTTGACATTATTACAAATTTAACATTAGTCACTCAAAATCTTGTAACAATGACCTGTGTGGCTGGTGCATTGCCTATTTTTTTCAAGATTCAAAGAAATCTTTTTTTTTTTTTAATTTTTAAATGTTTATTGAAATTCAACTATTCTCCTACTTCATGGTAATAAAGGAAAACAAATGTTGTCTATTTTTACTCTTGAACAGGACAAACTCAAGCCCAGAGAGCTCCCTTGTCCCCGAGGAAGCAAGATGGAAGAGTACGGGAGGGACAGGGTAATGTTAGTCCTGGATTGTTTAGTATGAAATATAAGGCACTGGGACACTAACAAAGTTCCATTTGTGCAAAATACAGAAAGTCCAGAAATATAGAAAATTTCCTTCTTTTGTTTCGATTGAGTCATAACACCACCAGTTTGGGGAAACTACCTAAAATTGTGAATTTGGTTAAAGAAATTTCTTGGTGATGCTATCAATTTCATGTAGCTTTCTATAGGATAACTAACACCTATGGCTTTTGTACATTACGTGAGAATGTCCTGATGAAGAGGGTTAATCCTGAAATACCCTGCACATTTCCTTAGTCAAATAAGATCTGAGAGGGCACTCATCCAGGAACTGATAAAAGACACTGCTGGCATTGATTGGCAGCCTAGCCCCTGCATCTGAGGAGTTACATATAGCCAAATTTTGTTAATAGCTGGTAAAGGAGAAAAAGAAAAGAATAAATTTTTTAAACCATGCATCATCCATAAACTTTGATTAACAGTTGTTTCTGA